CCTGGACCGCCTCTCACATAAAGCTCGGTCTAATCCAGTGGCTGTGTGTAGACTGAGAGGGGGGAGAGCCTGGGGGAGGGGGTTGGGGAAAAAGAGGACAAGATGCTGCTTTATCTCCAAGAAACAGTCGAGCGTAAGCCACTGGTGGTATTCCTAATTCTATTTCATAACAATTTTCAGTTTTTTTTTCCTCATGCTGCTAACATGCATAGGCTTATACAAACAGCTACAGTATATAGTTCTTGCATAAGAATAAACAGTACTTTAAACTTGCTTCTCTATTAGGCTAAAGTTAGAGATTTTATACTTATTTCTTAATATGCTAAGGCTTTTTTACTTAATTCTTGCTTCTTCATTATGCTAAAGTTGGAGATTTTGACCTGCTTCTTATTTATGTTAAAGATAGAGATTTTATACTGGCTTTTTATTAATATGCTAACAATAGAGATTTTATTTAATTTGATTTGATTTTAGCATAGAGTCATTGGTCACTTATGTTGTGCTGTTTGCGCCTCATTCCTACTGCTCTGCTACCGGCGATACAACAAGGACATCTCATTAAAAAGGATCTCTTAATCTTAATCTCTCTTTCCTTATGTTATGTAAAACCAATATGACAGATTTATCTCGAGGCGGATAGTTGAGATGTTGTATTTAATATTTGAATTCTGTTTTTATGGACATGAGCAGCAGCAGACTCATGTGGAACCAGCAACAGAGAAGTAGATGGAGCACTGCATAGATATAACAAATGTGAAGCCAGCCAGGTGCTCTTTGGAGATTGTGGGTGACGTTTATATCGCAAACACAATTCCAACGGCTTCAGACACAAGCAGACAAAAACTCCAACGCACTCAAACAGCTAAAGTTAACTTGCTGTTAGCTTGTGGCTTAAAGCATCAATAATTTAAAATGTATTTCAGCCTCTTTCATTCCTCAGGGCTCACGAACAACCAGTTACCGTCTGATTTACAGATATAATCTAACAGTTACACAAGGACTCCACACTGTAATTGAAATCATGTTGAAACCTGCTCAATATTTGTAATTATTCATGCTGTTACAGTATGGCATAAGTCAGGCATGTCCAAAATAGTCTTTGAGATCATAAACAGAAGTTCACTATGTCATCCATCCAACTTCAGCTCAGCCAATATAGACATGCCGTAACTCCGTCTAAAGCCCAGAACGTATTGAATTCAGTCGGTGACTTTATTCGCACATACTGAACTGAAGTGGTTTTTGATTGTGTCAGAAACTTCTATTATTGGTTCTACTGTAGCTGGTGAGATGGTACACATGTCATTCAGCCAACTTCAGCTCTGTTATGGATCCTTTTAAAGCTCAGAACAGCCCGATGCCAGTCAAGACAGAAAACAATATTTTTTCACATTATAGCAGAAAAAAGCATGATATGTCTTATTTGATACACCTATTTAGTATAGTTGAAAATAGTTGAAGAGAGGTTGATTTATATTTCAAATTTGAAGATAATACATACTTTAGTATATTACCAAGCCTCCCAAGCCTATTTAAGTGCAGGACAGCCGTGAGTTAGCTGGAGCCAATATCCGCGTATGGACCTTTGTCCACTTTGTGGGGGGCAGACGTGAAAGCATCTGAAAATATAAAAAAAAACCACAATTTTTTGAAGCCCAAAATGGTAAGTGTGACGCTCCTTTTCAATGTAAGTAAATAGGAACCAGTGAGTTGGAGCAAAGCTTTGTCTATGAGCACTTCCCTATTGGGTTAGAGGGCACTATCCATTTATAAACAGTCAATATTAAAATACTACACATTTACAATGGCTCTCTACAGCTTTGTATTTTTCCCCTGCTAGAATGTTCTGGCAATAAAACAGACATTGTGCTCTGCCAAGAACATGCTATTGACAACTGACCTTAATACAAAATAGCCCACAATGCAGTTCTTCGTTGTTTATTGTCTCCAGTAGACAGGGAGCTCACAGATACACTGGACGCAAATGCCAGGATGTCTGTAATGTCTGGGCTGGTGGGAAGCGTTCACCCATTGATTTGTATGAGCTGCTGCGTTGACAATGGAATTACCCAGAGCGCAATGCTTCATTCACACACCTGGACTTGGATTTCAGAAAAGGAACCAATTAAGTTGTCTGCCCTTTTATTCAATGTAAAAGGTGTTTGTGTTAAAGGAGTTTTTGCCAAATTTGCACTGCACTCTCTCTGACTCAGGTTGCCAGATATTCAGATGAATCCAGCTGGGAACAATACATCTATAACCAACACCTTTTTCACAATGGCCTCGATAGAAATCCATCTTTTATTTCTTGTTTTGTCATTAATGATTTTAGAATCATAGCAAAACTTTTTAGTTCTGCAGCCATGGTACTTTACCAGTGAGATTAGCTTGACGCGATGAGTTCTGGCAACCCAGATCACAGCCTTTCTGATTGGTAAAACAGTGGAGGGCGGGACATCAAAATGAAAACAACAAAAAGATTTTAGGGGCTGTAAAACTAATTTTGAAATCTAAGTTTCTCGGCTGAACTACTGTTATCAGTTAAAGATTAAGGCCATTTAATGATGACTAGATATGAAAATCTTACGTATTGCTACTTTAAAGAGGAAATATCATACTGGATTTGTGTTCGTTTTTGGCTCTTCAACATGAAGACCCTAACCCTAACCCTAAAGGCAGTGAATCTGTCTGTCCGATGTAACTGTTATGTCCATTTCAAATAAACAAATACTTACATAAATGAATAAAATGCAAAATAAAACTTATAAAAACACTATATTGAAGAGCCTGTGATGTGCCTTTTACCACTGTACAGTATGCACTGTAGTTTTATGAATTGCATTGGGTTATTTGCGAGCTCAGACTTATGTATATTTTAACATAGCATTCTGTATGACCCCTTAAGTAACTGTATAGCGTGTTGCATTTCTATTTATAATCGCATACTGTTTTTAAATAATGATAAATAATGATACAAAAACTGAGCCATCAAGGGTTTAACAACAGTCCCTCATGTGTTTTTGTAAATGCAATGAATTTAGGACAAGGAAAGTATTATAAATGAGAGGAACAGAGCTGGCTCCCTGTGTTGAGGAGTTGGCTGGACTTCACCAAAGTCTCTAAATTGTTTTTGAATGCCCTTTGAAGTACAACACTGTCTTAACTAATCTTTTTAATTGGTGCAGTGATGTAGGAACATGAGGCACATTTCCCCAGAGCTGATCTGTCAGACATTAATTGAGTTTGTGTGGAGCAGTACAGCATGTATATTTTAGCCTCACCATTTTCACCACAACAGTCATCTCCTGTGTGTTAGCGGCTGTTGTTGCTTCTCCCATCGAGGCGACTGAGTTTGACATTGATAGTAATCACCTTTTTCAATGCAAAATCAACAGTATTTGCCTATATTTAAACTTAATAATAATGCATCAGTTTCATATAGCGCTTTTTTGGACACTCAAAGTTAATTCATATGTAATTCTTCTTTCACTCATACACAATGGTGACTTACATTGTAGTCACAGCTGCCCTGGGGCACACCCACTACCTCCAACCATTCACACACAAACCAGACTCATTCGATGCAATGTATAGGTGAAGTGTCTTGCTTAAGGGCACAACAATAATTTGGCACTTTACAGCCGCAGTTGCCCCACTTTGGCACCTGGTGTTCCCAGAGGTCTCCCATCACAGTACTAGTCAGGCCCTGCCCTGCACAGCTTCATAGGTCTGGCTTTCACATGCAAGTATAGCCCCAAAAGATATTTTCCTTAGAGTGATTCATGCAATTTTGAGCAATTTTCTTTTATTGTTTTCTTTTTTTACTTTTCTTGTCAGAATCTACATACTTTATCACATCCCTGTGTCGACCCACGACAACAGTGGGAAAGCTCAGTGTGTTGTTTGGACCCGTGCTGGCTTTTTACCTCAGGGAAGACAAGATCGTGTCAAAATAAAAGGGTCAAAACTAAATTTTGACATTGAAAGTCCCAGCACCCGGGACTCCAGCGAATCGCAACATAATGGACTACAGAAAGTTCATCATCCTTGTCCAGAAATATAAACATTGACAATATACATTTTATAAAGTTCAGCTTTATAAAGGAAGGAGCAGCACATGCAAAAGGCCAAACTTTGATGTCGTTATGCACAGTATTCTTCACCTGAGCCACATTTCAGCAACATTCTTGAAAACAGTTTTGTTGTATAGCTCTCGAAATTACAGACATATTGGCCCGAGTGTGCGTGGGGAAAGGACACACCTGGGTTTGTGTTCGAAATGTCTGTGTTTTTGTTCCGTGAAAATAAAGCTTATGCTACACAGATGTTTTGCAGCGTCACAGGAGCTATTGACAAACTTCACTTGTGTTCTGAGCCGAGGATTGGATGTGACAGTGTTCCTGCTGAGGCCGCGTAAAGGGGCAGAGTGATGTGGAGACACTGCATACAGAACATTTCCATTGTGTTGAATACATAACAGACTCTCACTACAAACTGAAGGACATATGGCATCTTTGAACATTGCATAAACACGATATCCTTGGAAAATAGAGATTTTCAACCTATGCGATTTCTTTACTTTATACTATACTTTTTTCAGTTCACAATTACTATTCATCACATCTACAAACAGCTATCTCTTTAAACCTCTTTTCATTCAATCAGACTTTAATGAAGCTCAGTAAAAGGCTCCACCATGTTGACGTCTATTTAATTCTGCTTATTCTTGCTGCTTTGTGAGGTGCTTTGTATTCCTCTGCATTATTCTGTTTCAGAGTCAAAAATAGCACCCGGTATGTCAGAAAGCGACAGTGACAAAAAGCCAAAGGCAAACTAAGCGCATGCAGGCATTATTATCATCTAAGATCTTATAGAACCATTTCTCTGCAGCATTCGTCTCCCTTATCGTTTGTCATTCATGTTTTGCCAACTTTTTCTCTCTTGTATGTGTGCAGGTTTTCAGACGCTGAGACCTGAGAGTTTGTGGTGTAAGAAGCAAAATGAGCGACAATGAGATGGGTGAAACTGAAGAGACCAGCCAGTGGGATTCTCCCTTCAAGAACCTTCTGCTTTTGGGCGCCATCGCTGCTGCCTCTGCATTCGTGGTCACCATTCTTATCGTCTTGGTCTGTGTTGGCTGTCAGAGGTGAGAGAGAACCATCTTTTATTCATAGGCGACTTTAAAATTTGAAAAGGAGGAAATGATAACAACTTTTTTCACTTTGAAGCAGGCAAGTCCAAGTCTGGCCAGCTGCATACACTGTCATTGTTATGTGGCTCTCTGCCTTGTGAACCCAAAGTGTGCTGCGTTTACAAAGCGTAAGAAGAATACAGAGTCTGTTCAAAAACCACACACAATTTGATGGCATCATTAAACTGGTGGGACGTGTTTTGGCAAAGGCTTACCAAAAGTTTTGGCAAGACCAATGTAATCACGCAACATTATTTTTAGTTTTCCCTGTGCTCTCACTGCCCGGTGTCTCACTCCAATCATATTGATGTGAGTACATGCAGTTTTTGGCACGCTCAGGTTTAGATGCAGAGTTATCAATCAAATCAGGGCTGATATGTGTCTTCCAACAGACGTGTCTTCAAACATTTTCAAAAAAGTGAAGGTTATATGATACGTTCAACATATAACCTGTACTTATGAACTTGTCCTGCGAGACATTGTTAAAATCGGCCTTTTTGAATACTGGCCTTTGGAAACATCAACACGAGTTCACAATGTCGTCCATTCTTTAAAATGCGTTTTCATCATCAAGACTTCCATGGGAATTATTTATCTAAATAATATTCTGCTTCAAAGTTAACACATATTTAGTTGATGTTGGCTTTTTTCCAAGTATTTGTGGCAAATCTATCTTCAGAAAATAGATTTTATATTATTTATTAGTTATGTGTAGAGGCGACAGTGGCTCAGTTGGTAAAGCATTGGCCTTTGGTGAAGGTTGTAGGTTCGATCTACCCACAAGACCTATTCCAACTGCTCTCACTCATGTCCTCTGTCGTTGTGTCCTTGGGCAAGACACTTAACCTCACGTTGCCCAAAGCCCCTGTTGAAATAACAAGGCTGTGTCACCGCTGACGGAGCAGCCATCTTCCTGTGAACCCACCACCTGCCGTAGGATCAGCGAGGGTCTGCTGCTATGGTGGCAGCTCTCATTGCCATTCCCTGACCTATAAATGGATGAATAAAGGGGCAGAAAATGAATGAATGAAAGAATGAATGAATGAATAAGATTTATGTATCTATAATCATGAATTCAATCAATCAATCAACGTTTATTTATAGAGCGCCTTTCCTACACAAGGCAACGCAAAGCGCCTCACAACCCATATAACATCATGCATAAATCATCAAACATTAGAATTTAAGTAAACATAAAAAGACAGATTAAGAGCACAAGATATATAAAATTACACAAGTAGTTAAAAACCGTAAAAAATTAAAATCACACAAGGGATTACAATCATAAATAATCATAAATAATCATAGCGCATTAAAAAGATTAAAGATAAAAACAAATGTAAAATCATTCACTTGTATGCACAGCTAAAAAGAACTGTTTTCAGTTCAGTTTTAAAAACTGCTAGAGTAGACGCCTGTCTCACACTCTCGGGAAGACGGTTCCAGACTCTAGCTGCATGAATCTGAAACGCAGCCTCCCCATGTCTAGTTCCGACTCTTGGCACTAACAGAAGTCCAGTCCCTGTGCTCCTCAGAGCCCGAGTTGGTTCATATGGCACCAACATGTCGCGGATGTACCCTGGTGCGAGGCCATGGAGAGACTTGTACACAAGTAAAGCTACTTTAAAATCTATTCTCTGAGCCACAGGAAGCCAGTGCAGAGACCTGAGGACCGGACTAATGTGGTCGTACTTCCTGGTTCTAGTCAGGACTCGAGCTGCAGCATTTTGGATGTACTGCAGCTGTTTTACCGCTTGTTTAGAGAGACCTGTGAACAAGCCATTGCAGTAGTCCAATCGACTGGAGACAAATGCGTGGATAAGAATCTCCAAGTCTGCTTTAGACACAATGTTTTTAATTTTAGCAATGTTTCTTAGGTGGAAGTAAGCTGATGATGTCACAGATGATATGTGGCTATTGAAATTCAAGTCTGAGTCCATTATTACTCCTAGATTTCTGACCTGAGTTGAGGGTTTCAGGGAGAGAGACTGGAGGTGGCAGATAACGCTCTCTCTTTGTTTCTGAGGTCCGAAAACAATAATTTAGGTTTTTTCTGTGTTTAGCTGGAGAAAGTTATTTTGCATCCAATCACTGATCTGTTGGATACAGTGAAGGAGCGAGTCCACTGGTCCATGTTCTCCTGCTGTCAGGGACACATAGACCTGAGTATCGTCAGCGTAATTGTGATAGGACACGTTATTACTGTGTATTAACCTACCCAGAGGCAGCATGTAAATATTAAACAGGAGAGGCCCCAGGATTGAGCCCTGTGGCACTCCGCAGGTCAGGGCCAGATGGTCTGAGACACAGTTTCCGATCTCCACAAAATACTTTCTGTCCTGTAGGTAGGATATAAACCAGCTTAGGGCTGTTCCAGAAACACCAACCCAGTCCTCAAGTCTCTGAATGAGGATACCATGATCGACAGTGTCGAAAGCAGCACTCAAATCTAACAGGATAAGAACTGAGACTTTTCCTGCGTCAGTGTTAAGTCTGATGTCATTTGTTACCTTCACTAGAGCGGTCTCTGTGCTGTGGTGGGGTCTAAAACCAGACTGGAACATATCAAAAGAGTGATTGATTATTAAAAATTCTGTAAGTTGGTGATAGACAACTTTTTCTAGAATTTTACCCATGAAAGGCAGATTTGAAATGGGCCGATAACTTTTAAGTGCCAAGGCATCCAGACTCCTCTTTTTTAGGAGGGGTCTGATGACTGCCGTTTTCAGGGCCATTGGGAATGTTCCAGATTCAAGAGACATATTTACTATATGCGTGAGTGAAGGTAAAAGACTGCTCAGAACAGATTTAAGAAATCTAGGAGGTAATACATCCAGGCTACATGTAGAAGAACTCAGACTTGTAATTATCATTTGGACAGTTTCATTTTGTACTGGTGTAAAGTGTGTCAGCCCAAAAAGCTTCACTGGCTGTTGGATTGTAATTTCTACTGTGGAGGTGATGGCATTTTTGATGCCTTGGACTTTGTCATTAAAAAACTCTGCAAACTCATTACATTTGGTTTTGGAGGTAAGCTCTGATGGCATCTTAACAGGGGGATTTGTCAATTTATTTACCGTTGAGAACAGAACGCGTAGATTGCCACTACAACCTTCGATTGTTTCGGAAAAATAAGTTTCCCTCGTTCTACGTAGCACACTGTTGAACTTGCACAATGCATCTTTGAAGATCTCATGGTCAACTTGGAGATTTGACTTTCGCCACTTCCGCTCGGCTCTCCGGCACTCTCTCTTCTGTGCCCTGACAGAGTCTGCTTTTGTCCATGGCGCCTTTTGCTTATTTGTAACAATTTTGACCTTTACAGGAGCAATCGTGTCCAGAACATCCAAAACACTAGAGGTGACAGAGTTAAGTAATTCATCCACAGTAGAACACAACGTGTTATCAAAGTTTATCATCCCCATGAAAAGTTCACCTGTATTTTTGTTTATGTGTCTTCTTCTTCTAACAATTGAGGATTCAGCTCGTGCTTTACTATTGAGACACATATCAAAAAATACACAGAAATGATCTGACAGAGCAACATTGGCCACATTTACATTTGAGATATTAACCCCTTTAGTAATTAGCAGATCGAGAGTGTGTCCTCTGCTATGGGTGGGGCCACTCACATGCTGAGTGAGACCAAAGGTTTCCAGCACAGAGCTCAGCTCTTTCGCGTATCTATCATTAACGTTATCTACATGTATATTAAAATCACCTATGACGACTAAACTATCAAAGTCTGTGCACACAACTGAAAGCAACTCGGTGAAATGATCAGTGAAACTATGACATGACTGTGGCGGCTTGTACACAACAATAATAAGAATAGAAGATTGTTTTTGTTCTATTTTAAAAGAGACATACTCAAATGAGGAAAATTTCCCAAGAGGTACTCTATGGGAGACAATACAATCTTTAAAAACTGCTGCTGTGCCTCCTCCTCTTTTATTTTCTCGAATTTCTGATTCAAATTTGAAATTTGGTGGTGTTGTTTCTATTAAAACTGCATTTTCTGTATTATGGTCAAGCCAAGTTTCAGTCATAAACATAAAGTCAAGATCATAAGAACAGATAAAATTATTAATTAAAAAGGATTTATTGCATAGTGATCTGACATTAAGCAGAGCAAGGTTAAAAATAATGTCAGTGTCAGTGGGTTTAGTTGATTGACTACAAAGAATTGGAATTAGATTTCCTGAGTTGGACCGTCTAACTGCTGTCCTTCTGTTTATATTTGTGTTTATTCAAATTAAAACACATTTCTGAGCCGGTGCGAGGAACACACACTGTCTCTATTGGTTTAAAAAGTGAACTCTGTTTTACTTTGTTAAGTTCCAGATGCATGACTGAGTAAGCACCGTTCAGTGGCAGGACTGGTATTACACTGCCAGACGGACAGGGGTCAGTGTTTGCACCACAGTACTCACCCGGTGCTGGAGTGGAGGAGGAAGGTGGTAGTGGGGGCCGAGAGGCCTCGGATGTAAACAGTCACGCCCCCCTCGGGGAGCACTGAACAACATGGCGTAAAAAGTCCATCAACAAACTGGTGCCGTATCTGTTCGGGTGCAGACCGTCTGGACGATAGGCCACGTGACGCTTCCAGAACAGGCCAAAGTTGTTCACAAAAACAAAGTTAAAAGTGCTGCATGTAGACTGGAACCACATATTCAGCGCCACAACGCGACTGTACAAGCAGTCTCCCCGGTTTACAGTCGGGACTGGACCAGAGATAAAAACACACAACCCAGAGGACTGGAGGAGGCGGAATAGATCCATAAAATGCTTCTTTGTGACCTCGGACTGCTGCAGCTTCATGTCGTTGATCCCCACATGCACGATTACCTTTGAAATGGTATCAGGCAGGGACTGAAGCAGAGGAGGGAGACGTATGAGCAGATCTGGGACAGTAGCTCCGGGAAAACACTGAGTGACCGCGTTAAAAAAGCGGACGTGCCTCACGATGGAATCTCCAACAATCAAAGTAGTCGGGGCGAAGAGTGGACGTAGCCGCGGAGAAGGCGCTCGGTGTCCATGGCCAGAACCAGCGGGCTCATCCAGGGATGAGTCCGAACCAGGGCGCTGCTGAACACATGGAGGGGAGTGGGGGTGTTGATTCCCAGCTCCGGGCAACCCACGCTGTGTGCACGGGGACGCTGGAGCGGCGTGAGGAGCAGGCTCGGGTCGCTGCTGCTGACCCGGTGAAGGTAAGTGGTGGTGATGCACTGGGGTCAGAGAAGGGGAATGACCACTCTTTCGTCTGAGGACGGCTTCCTTTAGGAGCGTTTTTCTCGCAGTGGACCTGGATCCACGAACGGCAGAGTACGCTGCAGAGTCCAGGGGTTCTGCTGAGGGGGGTGGGATGTCAGTGGAGAGGGCTGCATAGCGGTTTGACAGGCTCAGGACATGGGCCACGGCGCTGGATGGCTCCTCGCAGTTCGCGGGTTCCTCATTCGGAACCGGGCGCTTAGGTGTAGAACAGGAGGGTCCAGAGCTGACAGATCTCTCCCACACGACAGTGTCACAGTATGCAGCGCTCAGTGACATAAGCCGTGAGTGCTGCCCGCCAGCGACATCAAAAAGTTTGGACATGAGTGACTGTTTATCCTGCAGCTCTGCAGTGAGGCGAAGGACTTCTTTACGGAGGTCTGCAATAGTGGCACGGTCCCTCTCACGAAGCTCCAATGTGAGGCGACTAATGTCGTTCGTGGTCATTGCAGTGTCACTTTCCATGTCTGTGGTGCGCTCGTGGTAGCCTCCGAGCTAGCGCGTTTCGATTGGGTCTTTGTGTTAAAAGACGTGATGCTCTGGAACCATTGCATTTAAGGTAAAAACACTAGAGTGTACAAAAGACACTAATACACCGTAAAAACGTGTTTAAAAGGCTTTAAAAGGCTTTAAAAGGCTTAAAAGGGTAAACAGAGCAGAGACGTCAAAAACGCGTGCTCACTCGCCTCGCCTGATAGAAGCTCACTCGTCAGAATTTAGATATAAGTTTACTCCGGCCGTTCAAGGATTACCACCCGTCAATGGTCTATTACTTTTTCAATGCTGCCAAATGTCCTGAAAGACCCTTGTACGTTCCCAAGACATCTTTATCATGCGTTTATCTCTAGAGAAATCTTGGCCTGTTGTTTGTATCCTCTGCTGTGTGATGTGTGTGAATGCCAGATCAGATACAGAGCTGCTGTTTATAGGGCAGAGAGGAGACAGCCCAGAGAGACTCAGCACCATCACGTCATGCCGTCAGTGAGACACAGGCCCACACTGTACTTTTTAAGAGGATCACGCTTTGAGCGAGGCCGGGCCGCAGACTTCAGGGACCAATCACACTACACTTTGGGATCCGTGCCCAGCGTTGCCATGGGTTACATGCAGATATGAAGGAAAATGTCAAAGCGGCTCATGGCAAAGCTCTGTGCAATCTAAAGATCCAGAGAAGTTTCTTTTTGGATTTAAAAGTGAGAATGATATGCAGTGACGGTGATAGGAATACTAATGTGAATGTTGTTTTTTTATGATTTCATATTATTGTACTAAGTATTGAAAGTTTTAAAGTTGTGGTATATGACCTACATTAAGTCCTGAATCTGTAGCCTGTCAGTCTGGACATTGGTCTCATCCTATGGACCAATTCATATGTGTATATTTTGTGTCTTAACTGTTGAATCTCTGATCGATTTTGGTGATTTCAATGGTTTTGTTACCTCCTCTGAGATGTCTGCTGTTGTGATTTAGGGCTATACAAGAATAAGTCGTACAAGAATAAGTCGTGGGCGGCACGGTGGCTGAGTGGATAGCACTCTCGCCTCTCAGCAAGAAGGTCCTGGGTTCGAATCCCAGTCGGACCAGGGCCTTTCTGAGTGGAGTTTGCATGTTCTCCCCGTGTCTGCGTAGGTTTCCTCCGGGTACTCCGGTTTCCCCTATCACTAAAAATGTGTCCAATAGTTCTAGCATGCGCCTCCTGTACTGGCGACCCCGCTCCCATCTCTGTGTGGAGTGAGAGACAAATGCCCAAAAATTAACAATTGTAAACCGCTTTGAGACTCAGATCTGCAGTGAAAAGGCGGTATATAAATAAAGATTAGATTAGTTAGTAGTTAGTCGTTGTTGTTGGTGGATCCCTCTCTCAATATGGGCCTATAAAAGTTTTTTCTACTTTTCCCAGTGGGTGTTGAGTGGTTCCTTGCTGATGCAGAAGGGTCTAAGGACAGTGGTGATAATCAACAACATTTACATATATTTTTAAAAATGTTATGGACATAGGTTATCCGTCCCCTTTGGACCAATGGCTCCTATGTGTTGTAATTTTGGGCTGTACAAAAAAAACATTGAATTGAATTGGTACTTAACTTTCAACTTTCAAGTCTATGAATATCTATAAATATTGTTGACTGTCGAGTGTCCTGGATGATCCCCACTGTCCTTAAACCCTTCTATGCATCACTTTAACAGGACTCATTCTGTTGGGACAAAGACAATGCATTACCGTTGTTGGGAAAGAATGCTAATGGTGACACTGACGCTCCCACTATAACGTTGTAAAATAGACTATGTACAGTAATTCCTGAATGTGGGAAAGTTAAGCGGAAATAATTAGCAGTAAACAGGTGCCGGCAGTAGACACGCACACACAATCCAATCGTATTCATAGCAGGTACTTTCTCACAATCTGTGCTTCAACTGTGAGCTATTGTCTCCTCTGGTGATCTGGAACAACATCATATTTGTACAAGCATATGGGTGCTGGAGCCAGAGGGGATCGGGGAGGGGGGGAGATAAAGGCCCCCTGAGGAGAAACTCGTAATAACATCGCACAGACTGTGAAGAAGTACGAAGGCATATGAATACGGCCAGGCAAAGAGGAGAGAGTAGAGATGTGGGGCATTGTGAGGTCTTTCTTGGGCAAAAATCAATATTGGAGACGGGCTGTTTTGGTAAATCAATGAACATGGCAGAGGTAATAACAATCTAGTCCACGGGGGATGAGGGGTTGGCAGAGTGGTTAGTGCTTTTGCCCGAAGCTAAAGTTATGGACCCCACTTATCAAATGGATGAAGACGACAAGCATTCTCTATTATGAGGTTTCCAATGATACATTTTCTAGAGTTCTTTTAACTGCTAACCATTTTGAAGGTGACAAGACTAAATTGTCTTTGCGCAAAAGGACATTTCGAAGTCAGAATTTAAATGAGACGGCGTGAGATTGTGTGGACAAGATTTTGAGAGCAGACATTTTACTATTTTCTGTGTTAAATCATACTAATTTGTGGGACTTGGTATCTTTCAGAGCCTGACAATACAATATGTGACTAGATACAGGGGACTTCCAATTTGTGGGTCACTATTTTACACTTTAGATTGAGAGCTGATTGGCTGAGTGAGAGTGGTCCTCTGTTTTTTCACTGATCTTTGTGAAAGCTGATCAAAAACTGCTTTGAAGGCAGCAATATAAATGTGCTCAAATTAAGATACATTTTACCAAATTTGTGTATGTGTTGAAATTGTGAATATTTTCGGTCCAAGCACAGTTCCCTCACATCTTTGTATTTATTTTGTGTATTTGAATGACGTCACAATTCTGAATAAAATAAAAATAATCATAACGCCGACGCCTAAAGGGCTAATAAATTGCATTGATTTTTAGTATTATTTTTATCAGCTGTATCAATCAGTTGACATACAAGGTTGACTTGGTGAATTATCCAACCCAAATTGCACTCACAATATAATCTTTATTGAAATGTATTGAGAAATGGTGTTGTATGCAAACTAGAGTTCTTTGGCTTTTGATGCATGAAAAGTACCACCCTGTTTGACATTTTTATTATAATGAAACGTAGCCAAGTAGCGATGCTTCATGAAGTTTGAAGTGCTTTGCTTTAATAGATTCTCCAAAGTTCTTCAGTTCCTCTCTCAAGGGCAGTTGTAGCTTCGACAGAAAGCCCTGGCTCCTGTTATAACCAAGGACTTGTGGGCCTCTCCTAAAGTTGTTCATTATGATAGCATCTCTCTCTATCTCTCTTCGGGCCTTTGCTTTCTGTCCACTGGCTTCAGCTGACCTTGCTTTGCTGATGTGTTCTCAGGAAAAGCAAGAGCAAGCATCCCCCGGCTGGAGAGAAGGGGACATCAGTGAATATGGTGAGACTGCCACTGTCTATCAGAGTCATGTGCATCTATAGCTACACCGATAAAAGTGATATGTAAGAATTCAATGTATGTGTATACGTACGCTATTGTGTGTGTGTGTTAGTGTGTGTGTGGTTTCTTATCTATGTGGCCTAATTGCGTTTTTCCCTGCACAACCAGTGATGAATGGAAGATCAGACTCTGCTTATAGCAAACAAAAGGTTTAATGTATATATTACAAATAACAGATACATTACAGAATAAGCTTTCCCAGGTCCCTGCTCCTAGACTTACAGCAAAGTGACGTAAAAAAGAATAAAAAACTATTTTAATCTTATGAAACACCAGTTAAAGTATCAATGTGTAAAATGTTCATGTCAACTCATCATTAAATGGCCCTAATCCGTCCAAAGGCATTAATAAACCATGCCCTGTTCGAATACTTCTTTAACTGATAACAGTAGTTCAGCCGAGATATGTGGATTTCAAAATGTGTTTTTCAGCCCCTAAATCGTGTTATTGTTTTCATTTAGAAAACAATAATAAGATTATCCCGCCCTCCACTACCTATCAGAAAGTCTGTGATCCGGGTTGCCAGAACTCAAAGTGTCGAGCTAATCTCACTGGTAAAGTAGCATGTGGCAGGGCAGCAGAAGTAAAAAAGGTCTTATTATGACTCTCAAATCATTCATAACAAAACAAGGTTGTTGGTTATAAATTTACTGTTAACAAAACTCTTGTCTATTCAGCTATTAAGGTCCCAGCTGGATTCGTCTGCATATCTGGCAACCTGACTCAGGGAGAGTGGGAGAATTTGCAGTACCACTTTTGGCCAGATTTTTATCATTTCTTATTGTTTTAGAAATTATGAATTATATCACAAAGCCTTTTCTCTTTGTTGTGGTTGTCTGAATCCATTTATTATCAATTATTGTGTTTTTTATTTTAATGACAACAGACACTACTCTCAAGACTCTGATTAGAAGTCTCCATCCCCAATGTCTCAATAGTGTCTATTTCTCCTTTAACATCTACTACAGCTACAGTAAGCCCGGCTGCGCATTCTCAGCCAAAAAGCCACCACTTTCTGTAAATTCCTGGACCGCCTTACATGAACCCCACATTTCAGATCTCCCTTGATCAGCTCAATGACGTGTACATTTTAAAATAGAGAACTTGTTTATTGACAAGATATGGCTACAAATAACCACTAACAATGAGTGAAATAAAATGTGTTATGATGGCATGCTCATAACATGCTCATAACATGCTCATCAAAAACATTCATCCGACCACAATAAGCCTCCTTTAGCTTTAGTCCAGCTTTGGCTCCATCCAAACAAGAATATAATGAAAAGATAAGTACAAAATACAATCCAAACATATTTATAGGAACATTCTCAAAGTTCTCCACAATATACCAATATCCTTATGTGGCCCTCGGGAAAACAATAATTGCCCACCCCTTTACTGATAGGGATGATATCAGATTCTAAAACATGAAATAACAAAGTAAATATTCTCAAGACCAGTTAAATGGGCAAAATGAGCCCAACGAATGCATCATACTTTCTTGTCGGAATGTCTTACAGCAGGGGACTCTTCGGCATCCTAAACTGAACTCGATGAGCAAATCTGACACCAGGCTGCATGAGATTAATCGCTTCCCCTGCAATGGAAACTGTAAGTGACACGTTGACAAGTTTTGTATCTATTAGCCGTGGCGTAACAAGCTCCCCTCTGACGCACCGTCCCGGGCAGTAACACTCTGCTCCCCTCTGCAGTCAGTAAAAGTCGTCCCGCCAGCATGGACCTCCTGCTGCTGCACAGTCGCCGCTCCCAGACCGACCTGAGACCTTCCCACGGACGGCAGCTGCCCCAGATCCCCACCACGCCTCCGGAGAGCGGCCAGGATAGCGGAGGGGAGGCCGGGGGAGAGCCGGAGACGGGACTAGGGGGAGGCGGAGGGGGAGGAGAGGCCAGAGACCATACGTACACAGAGGTAAAGGCCATTTATTATTTGTTGTTGATTTGTTTCTTAATTTCAGGCGAACGCAGGAATGCAGTTGTTATTAGATAAATCTATAGCACCAATGTAGCTGCTGAGAAAGTAAATATTTGTAATTCTGCCAACTTGTTATGGACGTGATGTCATACCTCATTTTACAGCTCAGAACAACCGGAAAAGTTGTACATTCCGTGTTGTCGGCATCTGGATTCTGGTGAAAAAAAGTTTGGACAGCCCCAGAATAATCGATATGATGATAATACAAGTCACAGCATAATCATAGAAAATAGTACACTGTAAAAAATATTACATTATTGTTTTTTAAATGTAATAAAAGAAACTGTATTAGAAACAGAGGACTACTAAAATCAATCTATACCAGATTGCTGTATAGAAAATCTTCTGGATTCAAGCGCTAAGCAATCCTGCTACGATGGCGCCAAAATGGTTATTATTGTTTTCAAAGTTCTCTTGCTGATAAAACATAGGTTCGATTTCAATCCATTCTCATTAGAGAAAATTGCTTTCTTTTACTTATTTCAAGTAAGTTTTAGTCCATATACAAATTTTCGCAAATCGAAATAATCCAATATGTTCATTTAAAACTTGCACAGACACGCACTCATGCACACACAACACGCACACACACTTACACACATACACAGACACGCACAACATACAATCATTAAGCAATAGGACAGACCATGTATACCAATATTTATTAAACCATGCTCACTTTTTCTAACATTCGTACATTGTGACATCCACAGGTGGGCGTAAGAAACAACCCCACCCCGACCCACGCCCTGGATGACGGGCTGTACGAGAGCGTGGGGGTGAGGGAGGCCGAGGGGGCGGGGCATAAGGTCCCCTCGGCTCCGCCCTCCATTCTCTCCAACTCACCTGCCTCAGTCCGAGCTGCCAACAGCCCCCCTGCCCTGGCCAATGCAGCTCGAGGAGCAAATCCCTTTGGGACAGTGAGTGAAGCTAAGTCCTCTTAAACTCCATCATACTGTATATAAATGGCAGACAAAGCTGGGCTATGTAACTTTAAATCAACAAAAAAAGTGAACTACTGTATATGCAACAAAAGTCTTTGTCACTAGTTTGGTTCCATCACTAGTATTTGCATGTGTGTACGGGGGTTAATATGTTTTGGAATAGGATTAAGACCTCATTTGTTCACAACATTACAAGACTCCTGTTGGGAGAAACACAGTATTGTATTGATTATATGTTGGAGGGGGGTGTATGAATTAAAGTGCAATGTATTTAATGTATGAAAAACATATAGAATTGTTTTCCAGGTTTGCTAATTTGAAGTCATCTTGTATAGTGCACGATTCCCTCAACTCAAAATGGTGTTAAGATACTGTTTTAGCCACAGCTGCCACCACTCACGATCACATCCGATCCATACTAGACTATTGTGAGTCACATGTCTACCCTGAGGAGACTTCTGTTTGCTCTTTAGATCCACAGCTTCCCTCTGTGGCACCTGGTATTGCCACAGTCTCCCATCACAGTTCTAACAAGGCCCCCCACTGCTTAGCTTCTGAGATATCACACTGCGGATGTTACCTAGCAACCGTGTAAACTGGGCCAATCCGTCAGTACTTTAACCAGAATTTAGAAGTTGACTTTTTTTCAGATAGTCAGTCATAAAAATGGATTTGTTCTAATTGTGTAGAAATGTAGGATTAATACAAATCTGATGTCACACTGCAGGAAAAACAACTTGAATGTTCTCAACCTGCTGCTTTATTGGTGTAAATCAAAGCGATTCAGTGGTCGAATTCCACCAAATACTCAATTATTAATCATAATTACCTCCCATATGCTCTACAAACAATAACTTGTGCTAGTGGCGGTGGTGAAGGCCTGTTTTGTGTGTGTAGAATGGCAGAGGAAACGGCAGGATGAACGGCGGCAGTGGGACCGTTCCTGGAAGAGGGAGTAACATGAGCGGCGTGAACAGGTCTCCTCTGTCCTCCGTCAACTCCCTGACCAACCAGGAGCCCGGCGCAGTGGAGTACGCTTCAGTCCGCAAGTTCAGAAAGGTAAAGGAACAGCATGTAGAGCAAGTCGGTAACACTGGGTACAAGGTTTTAGTCCCACTTGTTTCTAGCATCATCTCCTTGAACGGGGTCTTCGTATTTCTTTTTCAAATCGATTTTGTCACAGCTGTTCCAAACTCCTACTGCACCAAGTCAATCAGTGATCAATCAAAAAATCCCTCCAGGTCCCTCAGTAAAATTTCACACTCTCCTCTCAAGAAAATGTAAGGGGTTACTTTAGAAAAATAACAACACAAATAACAAACATATTAATGTCTTAACCAGTAAAAGGAGTTCTATACAATTTTGGGAATTTTGGGAAGCTCTGTTTTATCAAATGAAATATATACAGTGCCTTGCGAAAGTATTCGGCGCCCTTGAACCTTTCAACATTTCGCCACATTTCAGGCTTCAAACATAAAGATATAAAACATTTTTTTTTTTTTCAAGAATCAACAACAAGTGGGACACAATCGTGAAGTGGAACAACATTTATTGGAACTTTTTCCAAAACTTTTTTAACAAATAAAAAACTGAAAAGTGGGGTGTGCAATATTATTCGGCCCCCTTGCGCTAATACTTTGTAGCGCCACCTTTTGCTGCAAATACAGCTGCAAGTCGCTTGGGGTGTGTCTCTATCCATTTTGTACATCGAGAGACTGGAATTCTTTCCCATTCTTCCTTGCAAAACAGCTCGAGCTCAGTGAGGTTGGATGGAGAGCGTTTGTGAACAGCAGTCTTCAGCTCTTTCCACAGATTCTCGATTGGATTCAGGTCTGGACTTTGACTTGGCCATTCTAGCACCTGGATACGTCTACTTGTGAACCATTCCATTGTAGATTTGGCTTTATGTTTTGGATCATTGTCCTGTTGGGAGATAAATCTCCGTCCCAGTCTCAGGTCTTTTGCAGACTCCAACAGGTTTTCTTCCAGAATGGTCCTGTATTTCCTCCATCCATCTTCCCATAAATTTTAGCCATCTTCCCTGTCCCTGCTGAAGAAAAGCAGGCCCAAACCATGATGCTGCCACCACCATGTTTGACAGTGGGGATGGTGTGTTCAGGGTGATGAGCTGTGTTGCTTTTACGCCAAACATATCGTTTTGCATTGTGGCCAAAAAGTTCAATTTTGGTTTCATCTGACCAGAGCACCTTCTTCCACATGTTTGGTGTGTCTCCCAGGTGGCTTGTGGCAAACTTTAAACGAGACTTTTTATGGATATCTTTGAGAAATGGCTTTCTTCTTGCCACTCTTCCATAAAGGCCAGATTTGTGCAGTGCACGACTGATTGTTGTCCTATGGACAGACTCTCCCACCTCAGCTGTAGTTATCTGCAGTTCATCCAGAGTGATCATGGGCCTCTTGGCTGCATCTCTGATCAGTCTTCTCCTTGTTCGAGATGAAAGTTTGGAGGGACGGCCGGGTCTTGGTAGATTTGCAGTGGTCTGATACTCCTTCCATTTCAATATAATTGCTTGCACAGTGCTCCTTGAGATGTTTAAAGCTTGGGAAATCTTTTTGTATCCAAATCCGGCTTTAAACTTCTCCACAACAGTATCTTGGACCTGCCTGGTGTGTTCCTTTGTCTTCATGGTTCTCTCTGCGCTTTAAACAGAACCCTGAGACTATCAAAGAGCAGGTGCATTTATACGGAGACTTGATTACACACAGGTGCATTCTATTTATCATCATCAGTCATTTAGGACAACATTGGATCATTCAAAGATCCTCACTGAACTTCTGGACTGAGTTTGCTGCACTGAAAGTAAAGGGGCCGAATAATATTGCACGGCCCACTTTTCAGTTTTTTTTTTGTTAAAAAAGTTTAAATTATCCAATAATTGTCGTTCCACTTCACGATTGTGTCCCACTTGTTGTTGATTCATGACAAAAAATTAAAATTGTATATCTTTATGTTTGAAGACTGAAATGTGGCGAAATGTTGAAAGGTATACTTTCGCAAGGCACTGTATATGAACAACAATAAAATACAAATACAACAATGAAATGTAAATAAAAAAATAATTCTATATTAAATAAAGCCACACCTGAAACATATTTATGCTTTCCATAGAATAATACTAATAAAGTTTAAAATACCTGATATATTTATTTGCAAAAAGGAGAATAAGGAAATGCAATTCACAGTTGGAAATGACCACTGTCCGGTGAAAGTTAAGTCCATACAGGTCCCAACATCGAGACTGTCCAACAGTCTCTATGCTCAGGCTTCCAGACCCCCCTCCCTCTCTGCATGGACAATTAGCTCTGAACTGGACTTTGTGCTGCTGCAGTCACTCTGTCACTATCTCCACGTATCTTTTCCTGTGTGGCTGTTGCACTGTGTTTCTACGTCAATACAAACTGGTGTAACGATGTGACAGTGATCTCCAAGCACTGCTCTCCTGCTCTGGAATATCTTTTCATTCATTGTAAACCATGTTACTCCCCGCGCGAAATTGTTTCATTCATTCTTGCCTCTGTTTACATACCGCCATGCGCGGACGCGCGCGAGGCTCAGCGCGCACTCGCAGAGCAAGTACTGTGTATGGAACGTTTATACCCGGACTCTCTGATTATTATCCTGGGGGATTTTAATAAGGGAAACTTGAGCCAGGAATTACCCAAATACAGACAGTTTATCAAATGCCCGACCAGAGAGGAGAACACTCTGGATCACTGTTACACCACCGTGCGCGGAGCTTTTCGCGCTGTTTCCAAGCCAGCCCTCGGCTTCTCAGATCACTCCATGATACATCTGGTTCCTGCTTACAGACAGAGACTAAAGCTCTCGAAACCTGCAATGAGGAGCTCCAAAGTGTGGTCTGATGAAGCTGTGGAAGAGCTGCGCGCATGCATGGAATCTACAGACTGGGACCTTTTCAGAGCTGCCACAGATAGTTTGGATGAATATACGGACACTGTGACGTCATACATTCACTTCTGTGAGGATAGCATCATTCCAACAAGGACCAGGGTCATCTATAACAACGACAAACCCTGGTTCACTGCTAAACTCCGGCAGCTCAGGAAAGCAAAGGAGTCTGCTTTCAGGGAGGGGGACCGCAGCGGCTACAAAGCAGCTAAATATCAGTTCAGGAGAGAACTGAAAGCAGCCAAGTCCCGGCACAGAGAACGACTACAGGAGCAGTTTGGTAACAACGATACTGCTTCTGTCTGGAGGGGCCTACGGGAGATCACCAACTACAAACCCAAAGCCCCCCCCTGTGCTGACGACCACAAGCTAGCTGACGATCTGAACTTATTTATCAGTCGCTTTGATGCTGCCCCTGACACCTCTCCCTCCCCCACCCCCCACTACTCTAACGACCCACCCATCAGCCCTGCCCCCAGCCTAACAATAGCCGCTAAAGAGATTAAACAACTCTTCCTGAGGCTGCACCCCCGCAAAGCTCCTGGCCCGGACCACGTGTCTCCGGCCACTCTGAGACACTGCGCCAGTGAGCTTACTCCTGTGTTCACGGACATTTTCAACACCTCTCTGCAGTCCTACCATGTCCCGGCCTGCTTCAAATCCTCCATCATTGTCCCCGTCCCGAAGAAGCCCAGGATCACAGGACTCAATGACTACAGACCTGTAGCACTTACGTCTGTCGTCATGAAGTCATTTGAACGCCTGGTTCTCTCCCATCTCAAGTCCCTCACCTCCCCCCTCCTGGACCCCCTGCAGTTCGCCTACAGAGCCAACAGATCTGTAGACGACGCCATTAACCTGGCCCTCCACCACATCCTACAGCACCTGGACTCCCCGGGGACCTACGCCAGGATCCTGTTCGTGGACCTCAGCTCTGCCTTCAACACAATCCTGCCATCCCTGCTCCAGGACAAGCTCTCCCAGCTCAACGTGCCCGATTCCACCTGCAGGTGGATCACTGACTTCCTGACGGACAGGAAGCAGCGAGTGCATCTGGGGAAGAATGTCTCGGACTCTCGGATTATAAATACAGGAGCCCCACAGGGCTGTGTTCTTTCTCCCCTGCTCTTCTCCCTGTACACCAACCACTGCACCTCCAGCCACGACTCCGTGAAGCTGATCAAGTTCGCGGACGACACCACCCTCATTGGACTCATCTCCAACAACGATGAGTCCGCCTACAGGAGGGAGGTGTACCGGCTGGTGTCCTGGTGCAGTGGTAACAACCTGGAGCTGAACGCCCAGAAGACAGTGGAGATGATTGTGGACTTCAGGAAGAGCACTGTCCCCCCACCCCCACCCCCACCCTCCGTGATGGACTCCCCCATCACCTCTGTGGAGTCCTTCCGTTTCCTGGGCACCACCATCACCCAGGACCTCAAGTGGGAGCCGACCATCAGCTCCCTCATCAAGAAGGCCCAGCAGAGGATGTACTTCCTGCGGCAGCTCAGGAAAGCCATGCTGCCTGCACAGATGTTGGTGCAGTTCTACACGGCCATCATCGAGTCCATCCTCACCTCCTCCGTCACCGTGTGGTTTGCTGGAGCCACAGTCAGGGACAAACAGAGACTACAGCGCATTGTGCGCTCTGCAGAGGAAGTGATCGGCCGCAGCCTTCCATCGCTGCAGGACCTGTACGTCGCCCGAGCTCGAGGCCGGGCTGGTCGTATCACAGCCGACCCCTCTCACCCTGCACATGGACTATTCCAACCACTCCCCTCAGGCAGGAGGCTGCGGTCCATCAGGACTAGAACCTCCCGCCACAAGAACAGTTTCTTCCCCTCTGCTGTTGGACTCTTGAACACTTCTTAACCTGTCCCCCCGCCCTTTATAAAATCACTTTACTGCCCATCATACGTCACTTTACTTCACTGTACTGCTGTCACCTTACATTGTGTGCACCATGTGCACTTGTATATTGTAAATAGTAACTGTAACTCTATTTTAAATTTAAATTTATTCTTTAGAAGTGTTTTTTATTCTTATTTTTATTATCTCTTTTTGACTGTTGCACTGAGCCAAAGCAATTTCCTAGTCTGTGACCTCCTGTTACTTACGTGGCAATAAAAATGATTCTGATTCTGATGATTCTGATGCCAAGATCGGTTAAATATTAACACTGGCTTATTCATTTATGGGGTTTATGTACTTTAACCAATGTATGCAGTATTGTTCATGCTCTAAACTACACCTCAGTGACCAAATATTGTCCACATTTCACAGCATTGAAGACACACATTTTCCCTCTTGTGCTGTGGTTCTAGGTTGAAAAGTCAAGCAGGAAGGAGAATAATGGCGGTGATAGCCAGTCAGACCAGTCCAGTGTGAGCGACTCCCCCTCTGCTCCTCCTCTCCATCGTAGTCAGGAGTTTCCACGGAAACCTCTGGAGCCATTCCACATCCCGTTCCCAAAGGTACAGCAATCGATACCCAACTTCCTCTTTCTCTCCAGCTTCACTGCTCTGGTCTGCTCTGTTCTGCTCTGGTCTGCTGTTGTCTGTGTGGTGCAGGTCCAGGCATTGACCAACAGAGGGCAGTGCATACAAATTAACCAGGTCTTGATTCTCAGACTGAGTTAAACTGCAGATATTTATGCACACCGTGTATCTGTGATTATAATGGCAATAATTAACAACACTTAAAGTTGAGCTATCTAACTTTCAAACCTCAAACTGATTAGTGGAGCAATGTTATAAAATCCATCTACCGTAACTCATTTCTGGCTCTAAAATGATTGATTCTTTCACCAGTTTTCACATACATATATTTTTGGCTTCTGTTACATGTTTAGATAATCAAAAAGAGCGGACCACCCTCACTCAGCCAATCATCTCTCTGCCCAAAGAATCAAATAGTGACTTTCTGTGCTTTCTCTTGCAAATATGACAGAGATAAAAAAAATTCTAGTTAGACGAGGACTGCATGCTGTGGTCTTATTTGTTTACAACATTTTACTATTACAAAACTCCCTCTGCTGGGACACTTTTGAGTCGATATATCTACTGAAATCTACCTCTTTGGGACCTCTCACTTGGTTTTAGGCACTTTTACCGTCAAAACTGCAACTCAACCTATTGGTAAAGGCCTAAAATTTAGAATAAAAAGGTGTCAAAAAAATATTTGTTATTAGTGCTCCTACATTTAAAAAAATTACATTGCTTTCTTCAACGAGTGGATGTTAATGGGTTAGGAAGTTGGGTACCCCAGCTTTACCAGCCAAAGCAACTTGTGGTTTTGGAGTGGATCATATCCGGTTGTCGATGTGAATGTGTTGAAAAACTGTGGATAATATGAGTAACACTTAGCCAATGTGATGATGCACTACTGCAATCATAGCATCAAAAGGTCTGTAGTTGTAATCTTCTTCTCGATGTTTTGTGTTTTAGGATTTTCATTTATTTTTATAGCATTGTGATTTAATTAGCATGTAATATGTGTGATCACGTTGGTGCAGAAGGCAGCTATTGTGATGGGGTCTGCCACTTTCCTGTTGCCATAGAGATGTTATTGCTTTGTTTTGAATGTCCCTCAGTGAGAAATTAGATCAGTACAAAATTAATTACTCTAAAATCTGAATTCTTTCTGTGAGCGGCAGCACCTCTTCACAGATATAGTAAGAATAAGACTAATAAACATGTCTCAAAAGGTAATGGGAAGATGTTTAAACCTATTCAATCACGCCCCTTATCCATCCACTTCCAAGACAAATAACAATTAACGGTTATCATCTGTTTTCTATAAACCTTATTCATCACATGTATCTGTTTTTACATGAACTCATACTCAAATTAATCTATTTACAGTTACTCAATATATAATACAGGACATCATTTCATAATCACATTAAACCGCAGCCGCTCCTCTGTGGCACCTGGTGTTCCCCGAGGTCTCCCATCACAGTACTAACCAGGTCCTGCGCTGTTGAGCTTCAGAGATCTGACAGCGTTTGCTTAAAGGTGGCGCCACAATATTTGACTCCGTTTTGGTGTAAATGCAAAGTTAACATTCAAAAACAAACAAAAGACACTCTGAATGATATCTCTGAACATGCAGGTGGATTTTTGTGACCATATGTATTATTCTGGATTGCCTAGAATGAGTCTGGTGTGTGTGAAATGTTGGTGGTGGTGGGAGGGGCGGATGACACATACTGGTTGCCTCGCTTCTGTCAGTGTGCCCCAGGGCAGCTGTGGCTACAGTTGTAGTTTACCGGCATTCACCACTGTGTATGGAGTGAAAGAATAATGACGGGTGAAGCGACGGGTGAGTGTCCTGAAAAGAGCTATATAAATCCAATGCATTGTTATTATTATTATTATTATATTTGTCTTGAACATTGTGAGGCAGAACCATAACACACAGTTGCACATACCTCATGAATAGATGTATTTAGGCTGCACGTTTGTTGTCCTGTTTGCTCAGAGACATCACCGTCTTTGACCTGTTCACTTTACATCCGTGGCATAGCATCTGTAGCAGACCATTAGCCTGTAGTGCAGCATGAGAGCGAAAGGCGAGTCAAGAGCGGAGAGAAAGAGAGATATTATGTAAGAACCTGGAGCGCTGCCAGGACCAGCCTCCTGTGTGCTTCTGAGCGTGTATTTGTGTTTCGTCTTTCAGCGAGTCTATCAAGCCACAGCTAACAGGTAGCCAGCAGTACGAATAAATAATGTCCACATATTGAAAGCATTTTCCCGGCCTCAGCCAGCACCCATTACTCACGCCGAGTGCACAGGAGGAGCATATAAAAGTTTAATTATCCTTGTTTGCATGTGCACACACCGGGGCATGACACAAGTAATTGGTTTATAATTCGATCAACATGGGGCAAGATTTAAAAACACTATTTGATTTGACTGCATTGTTTTGTCAGAGGGTTTGATTAGTAGCTTTATAGATTAAGGATAAACACACTTCGATCATGCATTGGAATTGAGACCAATCAAGGTTCGCCTTGCGGTTTGCAATGCTATTGATATTTTTTTTTTTTTTAAAGTTCACTCAGAGCTCATCAACTGTGTGGCTACTGCTAACCACTAGATCAATATATTAGCAATTCAGTTTCTCACACTTGATTTAAAGAAGCTATACCTGATTTATTTTCTAATGAGTTCATAAAAATGCTTATTACTACATACAAGTTGTATTATAATCCGTAATTTAATTGAAAACTTGAGCTCATTGATTCAGCTGTTTGTGAATTCAGGCCGTAAAAAGTGCTGAGTAGAGACTTTAGCGTGACGCCCGCTCTCCTCCAATCACAGAACGAGGCGGCGTCCTCTAGCCTCTACAGCGCTGCTAAACACAGTTGCATGTTAGTAGAATTGGCTATAACTCCTCTTGCTGTAACTAAATACACAGCAAAACAGAAGAGGGAAATAAAGCAAAAAATTATCAAAGAATAAATCAAGCTTGGATGAACATAACTAGCTTGCATCGTATCTGTATGCCTCGGACTATCTATGCTCAGAGGAAATGAGAAGCCTGTGAGCGAGTTGGGGGCGGGGCTAAACATTCAAACCTTGCAGAAACGGGTGTAGCTCCTTTAACTGTGCTTTTTGGGGCTCATGGGTACATAAACAATACCCTTCATGGTCCTTTCACAGATAATGAGACAGTGAGACAAATAAAATGTTTGTTATTTTATCTTTGGCTGAAAGGATTTGCATTACGCCTCATGGAAAGACATAAAGAACCACAACAGCAGGACGCACACACACCACTCTTATGTAGAATAGCATAAAAACAGCTCAAATGAAGGGCTGCACGGGTTGAAGGATACGTCAGATCCTGATTGCTGTTTTGATGGTAAGATAATGATCAAAGTTCACATGGAGTGGTTCCAATTCTAATAATATCTAAACGGTTTCTCTACGGTTTGCCACTATCCTTTTATAAAAACAAACAAAACAGAATAGACAGCCAAATAAAGTCATGTTGACTCCCTTACAGCTAAAATAGTATTCTTGTACATGTAACACAGCAACTATCTCTCCACTTTTGCAAAGAAAATGTATGGATTATAACAATTGAGGCCCAGAATATAGAGTTTTATTTATTAGTTAGAGTTGGGTTAGATTTAACAAGACAACCCAAATCCTTTTGAATGGCGTTAGGCTGTTTTAAATGCTGTTGAAATCAGATAAAACACAATGATTCACATTTGGCGTGGCTGAAGTTTTTTACCCACTTTAATTTTGTGCCACGATCACAAATAAATGTTTGTAAATTCAAACAAAACCAGTGACTGGACTAAAGAGGGCCTGAGCTTTTTAATGATGCATGTTGGCAGAGCTGAAGTTGGCTGGATGATACTCTGAGCTCATGTATTCAGCTCATATGTAGTCACGATTGTCACTGACATTACCGCTTGGATTACGTTGCGCTAAAACAATCTAATAAACCATGCCGCCTAAGAAAGGCCCTACATCGGAGGATTTTGAGGAAATCAAATCCTCACTTGACTTCCTTACCGGGGAAATGACAGCTGTCAGGACGCAGCAGGCCCAACTCCTGTCACTGCTGGAGTTGGTTAACACCCTGCGCATCCAAAATGAAGAGAAGGACCGCCGCATCGAGGATTTGGAGCGGCGAGTTGACGATATGGAGCAGTACAGTCGGATTAACGACCTAATTATTTCTGGAATTAAAACCAAACCGCGCTCGTACGCGCGAGCGGTGGCCTCTGACGCGATCGGTGGGCAGCCCAGTGAGGACGAGACTGCCTCCGTGGAGCAGCAGGTGGCTTCCTACCTCCACTCCAGGGGGATAGAGCTGGACCTGGACCACGTTGAGGCTTGCCATCCCTTGCCCTCCCGGAACAACGAGCGCCCAGCCGTCATCATGAGGTTTGTGAGCAGAAAGAACAAGGTAGCGCTACTTAAGCAAGGACGCAAACTCAAAGGAACAAATGTCTTCATAAATGAACATTTAACCAAAAAGAACTCGGACATTGCACGCATCGCCAGACAACTGAAAAAACAACAGAAGATTCAGCACACTTGGGTTTCAAACTGCAAGGTCTTTATAAAACTAAATGGGTCCCCAGAAGCAAAGGTGCTGGTCGTAAGAAGGAAAGAAGAGCTGGACAAATTCAACAGTTAAAAAGGTATCAACACTATATCATACTTGGAGAACTATATGGTGAACATGACTGATACACCTGAACAATCAAACAACAATGATCTGGACATGCTGCAGCTAACTCTTCTTTACAAACAAATGGAACTGGAAACATTTAAGTACATGGACTCACAACATTTATCAGATATTGACCCGGACAACAATTTGTTGTCTACATTTGATTGGAATTGTAATTACTTCACACAGGATGAATTTAATAAAAACATAAACACTGCAGGAAAATTATCAATAATACATTTCAACAGTAGAAGTATGTACGCCAACTTTAGTGGTTTAAAAGAGTTTTTGCAACAATTTGTCAATCCATTCAGTATCATTGCCATTTCAGAAACTTGGATCAATCCACATAAACATAATGATTTTTACTTAGATGATTATGATTTTATATGCATAAACCGAGATAATAAAACGGGAGGTGGAGTAGCCTTCTTTATCCATAAATCGATTTCCTTTAAGATCTTGCCAAATATGTCTCTTGCTATTGCTGACTTAATGGAATGCCTAACGATAGAAATCCTCAACGAAAAGAGCAAGAACATAATTATAAGCTGTGTATACCGATCACCTGCATCAAATATAGATGACTTCACCGAATGGATGGACAAATTATTTTGTCCTACAAACAAAAAAGAATTATTCATTTGTGGTGATTTTAACATCAATTTACTCAATCCAGCAAAACATAAGGCCATAGCAGACTTTTCTGACACCATGTGTAGCATATCTTTATATCCAACCATAACCAGACCGAGTAGACTAACAGTACATAGTGCCACACTGATTGACAACATATTTTCCAACACAATAGAGAAACCGATCACCAGTGGCTTGTTAATATGTGACATTTCTGATCATCTGCCAGTCTTCCTCCTGTGTGACTGTGACCTTGTATACAACACAAAAACTGATCCTAAGGAAACTTACAAACGAGAGAGAACTGAAGTAAATTTGAATGCCTTTAAAAATAGCTTAAATGAACAGGATTGGAGCTTAGTTTTAACTGAGACAAATGTAAATGTTGCATATGATACATTTCTGAAAATATTTCTTTCCTTGTATGATATACACTGTCCCATGAAATTGTGGCATAAAAAAAATAAACAAAAAAAAAGTCCCTGGCTCACAAGAGGAATCCTTAATTCTTGCAATAAGAAACAACATCTTTACAAATTGTTCATTAAGTTGAAGACCACTCAATCCAATGCAAAAGAAACTGAAGAAGCTGAACGCAAGTACAAGACATATAAAAATAAATTAACAAATATAATGCGCCTTAGTAAGCAATTATATTATGGAAGAACTCTAGATGTGAATAAAAATAATATAAAGAAAACCTGGGACATACTAAATGGACTAATAAAACAAGGATCAACAAGAAAAGTGTATCCAGATTACTTCGATGACATCGATGGTGATAAGCATAATATTAACAACATAGTAAATGGTTTTAACAGTTTTTTTGTAAACATTGGTCCACAGCTTTCCGACAATATCCCTAATGAAAGTAATAGCCTAAGTATCAATCCAATTTCACTTAATCCTCATTCAATGTTTCTTGTTGCAACCAATGAACATGAAGTAAAGGAAGTTGTTCTTAAATTAAAAAACAAATTCTCCACAGATTGTCACGGTATTGACATGGCACTTGTGAAAAATGTAATAAACAATATTGTCAAACCCTTAACTCATATATGCAATCTCTCTCTCCAGTCTGGATGTTTCCCAAATAAGATGAAAATAGCTAAAGTCATACCAGTATTTAAAAATGGAAATAAACACTGTTTCACAAATTACAGACCAATCTCTCTATTACCACAGTTCTCAAAAGTTTTGGAAAGAATTTTCATCTCTCGGTTGGAAACATTTGTTGACAAACATGACCTCTTAAACAACAGTCAGTATGGATTCAGAGGAAAAAGAACCACTTCAATGGCCATAACTGAAGCAATAGAAGAAATAACAAATTCTTTGGATCAGAAATTACACACTATAGGAATCTTTATCGACTTAAAAAAAGCCTTTGATACAATAAATCACTCAATGCTGCTGGATAAATTACAAAAATATGGTATCAGGGGTGTCGCTGGAGAATGGCTCTGTGATTATTTAACTGGTAGAGTACAGTTTGTTCACATGGGGGATCATGTCTCTGAAAATCTTGGCATTACTTGTGGTGTCCCCCAGGGGTCAGTGTTGGGTCCCATGCTGTTTAACCTCTATATCAATGACATATTCGAAGTATCGCAGTCACTAAAACTAGTTCTTTTTGCGGATGACACTAGCATTTTTTGTAGTAGTCCTGACTACAAACAACTTATTGATACTGTGGATGTTGAACTGACCAAAATAAAAACATGGATGGATGCCAACAAACTGTCCCTGAACCTAAATAAAACAAAGGCAATGATTTTCGGTTATGCAAAGAAAAATACAGAGTTTAAAATTAATATTGATGGAGTTGAAATTGAAAATGTTGCTGAAAATAAATTCCTAGGTGTAATCATGGATAACAAATTGTCATGGAAAGCCCATATAAGTTATGTGACGACAAAAATAGCTAAAAACATCTCAATCATGAATAAAGTGAAACATTATCTTGATTTTCATGCACTACACACACTATATTGTTCATTGGTATTACCCTACCTAACATACTGTGCTGAGGTGTGGGGTAACAACTACCAATGTTCAACAACACCCTTATTCTTATTGCAGAAACGAGCTGTGCGGATCATTCATAAAACAAGCTACTTGCATCACACTCACAAACTTTTTCTTAAATCTAAAATACTAAAATTCCCAGACCTTGTAAAATTTAACACCGCCATCATGTTATTCAAGGCATTTCACAAATTGTTACCTCATAACATACAAACATATTTTGTGCCTAAAGAAAAAAACTATAATCTAAGAGGTCTTGGACATTTTACACTTCCCAAATTTCGATCTACCCGTAAAAGTTTCTGTGTGACTGTGTGTGGTGTCAAACTGTGGAATGCTTTGGATCCTCAATTAATGCAATGCCAAGATATTCACAGATTTAAGACATTATATAAAAACAATGTCTGGTCCGAATACAGAGAGATTATGACTTGAATGTATTTCTCTTCTTTTCCCTCGACTCATGTTGGCATGTACTTGCTCTTGTTAATACATTTTGGAGTATGTTTCCTTACCATTGCTGGTATTTGCTGTTCATTACCATTGTTGGTATTTCTTTTTTTAAATTGTTTTTGCATGTAGTTTCTTTTTATTTTTTTATTATTATTTTTTACATTTGTCCCTGATGACATTTTCAATAACTCATTTTGCTTATGAACAATATGTTTAAGATTTTGATATCTGTGCTAAATTTACGTTGGAGCTAAAACCGGAGCCTTTACTTTACTTTTACCCTTGTAATGACTGAAGTAATTAGGGGTGGGATTAAATAAGTGTTCACTTCTTCCCACTCCTTTTCGAGCATCCATAAGTGTTATGTTAGTATCACTCACTCTTTTTGTTATTACCCCTTTGTTATATTTTGTACATGTACCTAAGTTGCTTGAACTAATTATTTCTATGCCCGCTTACTTGCTCGGAATGAATAAATAAAAAAAAAAAAAAATAAAAATGTATACTGAGACCAAATATATTAGGAGCAGACTGACCGAGTGCTGACGTCACCCATAGTGTTAGCCTTAAAGCGGAAGAGACCCAATAGAGCTAGCTCAAACAGGCTACTTGAGCGGGAACTTGGAGTCAATTTTATGCAAAGTGTTTTGATAACAACAGCTGAGTTACCAAGCACCAGTCAGGAGCGGTACCGGTCTGTCGTCTCTCACGCTACATGCTAGCTAAAGCTAAATTCTGCGACAGAAGGCGCCTGATTAGTCAGTTGTTCGGGCACATATCTGGATTTACAAAAACAATTTCACAATATAAGCCCAAAACGAGTGTGGTGAGTGTGACACAACGGTGACTGAGCTAGCCAAGTCAATAGCACCCAGAGCATGCAAAACTTTATCCATGAGCACTTCCCTACTGGGCTTCATTTAGCAGGGGGGTTAGCATTACCCATCTATGTTATGTCTATGTTTCAATCTCAATGCCTACTTTGGGTTAGCAAGGCAGAGAGCCACATACAATGACACAGGCTGGAATTTAGACACGCCTGCTCAAGTTCATCCAATGTGCGAACAAAAACTAAGAAAGAAAACGGATCTGCAAAAGCTTCTTCCTACATCACAAAAACGCCGGACAAATGTGATGATCCTTTACACTCAACATTCAACAACATTCATTTTTTAACATTTATGGACATTGGTCATTTGCCCTTTCATGGACTTATGGCTCTATGTGTTTTCTATCATTGCATTTTTTGAGTTAAAACGGTTTGATTTTCAGATCTGCGTTGGCAAGTTCAACGATTGTATAAAGTCCTCTGAGATGTAGTTGTGTTGTGATATGCAAGAATAAATTGTATTGAATTGAATTAAATTGAATAAGTTCGTCCCCAAGTTTGTAAATAGGAGGTTTTTGAATTCTTATAGGGTATGTCACTTTTGCACACATAATCCAAGGCTACATTGCATCATACAATTCGAATATTCTTCTATAAGTTGTTGACCCCTCTTTTCTGTGTGCTTTAACGTGTTTTTTTGTGTTCCAGGAGGCTGTGTTCATGGGTAATGGAGAGCAGTACATCTGGAAGCCCCCGGAGGAAGAGGAGATCATCACCCTGCACCCACCTCCGCTCCGAGGGGACAGCATACAGGGCCTCCCCCCACCCCCCAGTGCAAAGGAGGTACGTTCTGTCTGCTCTGTCCTCGCAGATATGTGTGCTCTGTGCCTTGATTGACAGATCATTGAAATAATTGGTCTAATACAGTTGCCAGAATCTTACCATCTGTGGCACGATATAGAAACGGTACAAACTCTGTGCATTATGACCGATACTCTTCGTTTGTGCCTGATTCCATAAAAAAAATTGTGAATTTTGTTGAAAAAGACAAAACCAGAAACCATCCTAATTATCACCTATCAAACTGGCAACCCAAGTGAGAGACTCATTCTGCTTCCTGATTGGATAATCTGCTCAAAGATCTGCTTGATAACATTACATACTGTCCCTTTACTGCCCCCTGGTGAGCCCTGGGCTGCACTTTGAGAACCCAATTTAAACATTAGCTCAAAAAGGCATGGCAGGTTTACTTGTGTTGCACAGTTTGTACACATAAAGGACATTTCAAGAGTAAAGTAAATGGATCAGAAATAATCAAACTCACTCATTATAAGAAAATCCTAAATTTAAAAGTATCAATACAAACCGTGAACAGAACTGTCTAAATCTGGGTAGTATTTTCTTTAAACGTATAATATTGTAAATGAAGAATGTGATTTGAAATTAAATTAGTAGAAAGAAAGTATTGATTCTAGTGGTATTCAACGTTAATTTTAGATAAAAAGACAAAAAAGGTCTATAAACGGTAACCATTAAAAACAGACCAACAACAAAAACATACAGTGGACAATTGTTGTTTTGATTTTTTTCATGCTACACAAAATACAGTGTCGACAAAAGTAAAGAAAAATACACTAAATATCTAACCCCACAAAATAACTGATAGTGCAGTTAGTGTCAGGTGAGGCAAGGTGAAGCAAGAATAGACATGTAACTATTAAACATTAGAATACTTCTATTCTTACAGGAAGATTTTCCTGAGTTTCAACAAAAATCAGTCCTCTCAAATGGCCTAACTAAATTGTTGATTTTGCTGATAGCAAATCAAACCATTAATAAGTTGTTGGCCAAAGAAGAGGAAGATATCACTAGATGTTCATAGGAATTAAAGCTGGAGTACCTAACTTTATGGTTTGATTAATAATAATTGTTGTTTGTCCCAGCAGGAAGAGGCCTATAAAAGTAAAATGTTGTGAACTATTCAGACCACAACATGCTCTTCTTAGTATAAAACTTTTGCTTACCACTTATTCGACTCTTTGTGCGGTTGATCCCCCATTTTTCAATTTTCTGTCTGAAAAAGGAGATCTGAAAATACGACGGAGGTCAAAATTACTTGTCAGATTCAAATTAATTTTATTTTGTGTTTGCACTAAAGCCATATTGGACCTGTGTGTAAAATAGCGATAGAAAAACTGTTTTAGAGCCAGGGATAACAATGCAAAATATGATCAAAAATAAGTACAACATTTGGTATATAGTGAGTAGATATTGACTGCCTTAAAACTAAAAAAAGCTAAATTATCTTGTTTTAAAAGATACAAGAAATGTCTCCCTTGGAATGAAAAAAATATCCCCAATATTTAGACTAGCGACCTTGTCTTGTTTTAAGACAGACAGAATATACTCAGATTGAATGAAAAAAAACTTATTAACTCATTTTTTATTATTTTTTGCAGCTTAGTTAGATAGATTAATATACAACTCTAATATACAACTCAAATTTGGATATCCCAGCTTCAAACAAATGGAGGATTGTCGCAGTGAATCCTGTTTCCTTCTTAACCAGGAAGTATTCCACAACCCCTACTCTACTCCACACACACAAAACACACCGTTCTTGTCGGCCGCCATGCTATCCTCCCCCTCTATTACTGTGACCTCATGTGGACGCCATCTATTGGCCGTCATAACAGCTCTGACCTCTGACCCAGTGCTGATCCGATTCCTCTTCCTACACAGCCACAGGGTCATGTGACACACACTGCAAAACAATCATACAATAAGAAGGATATAATTGCCTGAACTGAGTGGTTTTTAGTCTTAGTTTGAGCATATTCTGCATGTGTTAAACCAATATTTGCCATTAGTCTTATTTCAAGACAAAAGGCTTGATTTTCTCATTCCAAGGGAGACATTTCTCGTATCTTTTTAAAACGAGATCCTTTTGCTTGTCCCTTTGGCAAATCGTGTTTTAAGGCATGTTCTCAAATAAAGATACACTTTGCATATTTAGCTTTTTTTTTTAAATTATTTTCCATCACTTTTTGCAGCGCAGACTTCCCCCCTCCCTATTCTCCGCACCCAACCCCCGCTGGCCTGATCTGTGACCTCAGCCCAGTCTGTCGCTGTCTGTGGCGGCGGCCCAGACCCCACCATGCCCTCACCTGCTGCTGGGATAATATTCTGAAGCGGCTTTTGTTGGGAAATCTATACAGACGCTTGTGATTGGGCCGTGAACAAATCTCCTTCTTTACTAAACAATAGGGCTGAACCATTTTTTAAAGAAATATAGTAAAGTAATTTTTCCAGATAGCCTTGTGGTTACAATTCAGGTTTGCAATTTCTATTATGAAGTTTAGATCACGTTCAAAGTGCACCAGGAGAGTGCAAATATGCTAGAAAACTGAAAAACTCAAGAATTTTTTGTAGAAATTGCTTAAAATCCCATCGTGCTTAAAACAATGAGACTGGCTCTTTCTATTTTCAGATTTCAGAAGAGAAGAAATACTTTTAACTATAGTATTTGACTTATTTTGCCTGATAATGTGTTGTGTTATCAGCTGTTTCAGAGCTCTAAACACAGGGATGTGTATAATATGCAACAAGATCATTTGCTGTTTGTAAAGAAAATATTGTGATGACAATGATTGCACTCGTTGCGGCCTCTAAAATAGCATTTTCGATTCAAGCGCAATTAATCCTGCAGCCCTTCTAAACAATCTCTAAATATTTGGCAACCATCACCTTTGAAAACATTTTAATGAAAAAAAAAACAACAAAAATCTATAGAATCTACAAAATGTATCTTGATTTGATTATAATTGGACTGTTTTTCAAGTGGAACAAGTATTGATTTTCCTCATTCCAAGTGAGACATTCAATGAAAAACACATTTTATGCTTGTTCCGTTGGCAAATCTTAATCCATACAAAAGATACAAAACAACATAATTTCAGCATTTGTTTAATTGGACCAATGAAAAGACGCTCTACACAAAATATAGATACAATTAAATGAAAAAATATGGTTTACATTGAAAACATGTATATCCTTTTTTTTTTTTTGCAATGAAGTGGATGAAGCCTAAAATCTGGACTGTAAACAATAACACAGCCTGTTCCCTAAAGCCAACGTTTTTATAAGAATTATAGTTAATGAATGACAATTATGACTGACGAACATTGCTGACATAAATCTTGCTATTGATCGTAGCCTGTCGCTGTGAGATTTGAAATGCCCTTTTCTTCATATTGTCGGTTCGTTACTCCCGTATGGAAATGGTGTGTTGCCGATGAGAAAAGGGGGAGGCCGGCGTCCACCAGCCACATCACTTATCACATGTGCACAACATACAATCTGTCCTCCCCCACCTCCCTGCGTCTCCTTCAGCTCCATTGAACACATATGACCATGTTTTCAGAATGGAATAGTTGAAGAAGGGCGCGCCTCATAAACTGCAGATGTAAACTAGGTCGGAATTTTATTGCACGGCCCATATAATCATTTAAAGTGATTGTCTGGAGTTTGTCAGAAAGAGAGACAGAGAGGTGCTTGATTTGAAAAAAAAAAACCACGCAAGCTCCCTCCCCTTCCTTTCTGATTGGTCTACACCTACGTTTCTGTAACACATTTAAATGTTAATCAGAGAACACATTATACAAATACATTATTATTACACATGCACGGAGGTTTTCAGAATGATTTGTGAACGTTTTCATGATAAAAATTATGTTTCAATGCACAAAAAAACGATTGTGGCAAACCCGGAAGAAGCTATTATCATGAATTGAACATTATAGGACACATCTGCAGAGGATCTGATTATGGATATAGGTTCAGTATATAAATGATTATGATATAGGTTCAGTATATAAATGATTATGGATATAGGTTCAGTATATAAATGATTATGGATATAGGTTCAGTATATAAATGATTATGGATATAGGTTCAGTATATAAATGGGTAACTCAGCGCGGATGTTCAGAATTCTTTGTTCAGTTTTCATGAAGTTTCAGAGCCTATAAAGGCTTGATTCGGAGGCTACGAGCACCATGCGATGATTGACAGCCGTTGGCATGACTCGATTGGTTAATGTGGACGCCATCGTGGATTCTGAGCTATAGCTAAGAGAAGGGAAGGCGGGACTTAACTGTAACATTAGAATTAATAAAATGACTTATTTTCTATCAACATTTAAGGCCAGGAGGTCAATTTACTACAATTCTTAAAATTTGTAATGAATTTAGAGTTACAGACTATCACTTTAATATTTCATAACATTGTATTTCTAAGGTAAAAATTGATTCACAAGACAAACTGTATGGTGGAAAACCCGGTAACAGCCTATGTTGTGGTGGATTTTGACCCAGGCGTGTAAAACTGAAGAAACTGAGAAAATGAAGGATTGTTTATTGAGAAAAAACTGTGAATAAAAATATATTTCACAGTGGAAAATAATAAAGTTCCTCCTCCTAAACTGTTATGTGTGAATACTTGGTAGTGACTCTAACAAATGCTACTCTGGTTTAGCGTTAACAAGATGAGTTACTAAGTTTACAATAGTGATGGCTTTTCTTGGTGGGACAAACTCCAGATGTGAAAATGTGTAATCATTGTTTCAAGTCAGTCCAGTCTCAGCATGTGATCCTAAGTCTATTGTCTGCCCATACGCTTCTTACTTTTTTTCCCACTGGGTTATTGAGTCATTCCTCGCTCATGCAGGCGGGTCCAAGGACAGTTATGATCCAGAACATTCATGAACATTAATGGACAATGGTCGCCCGCCATTTTACTATTGCATTTCTTGTGTTTGAACTTTTTGATTCTCTGATCTGTTT